CTCTTGTTTGTTCGTGAGATTGAATATCTAGGCGTTATTCTCAATAGTCGTCTTACTGTCAAATACTTTGAGCTGGAATTAATTTTCACTGAAAAGACTATTTGGGTGTTTTGTATGGAATTAATTTTCACTGATTTGAATGTAAAGTTGTTAAGTTGAATGTAAAATAAAGGAAAAAAAGCAAAAATTAGTTGCAAGCAAAAATAAAGTATTTTACAGTATCATGTTAGACACACTGCCAAGATATTATTTTCATGCCAAGATATTGCTTAGATTTATATCGAGCATTGTGCGAGTATTCTCAACTAATGCACTTTTTGTCTTTATGAATTACTAATAATTCCAATTTTAGAATATGCTCTGGAATGTGTATACACATATACCTTGCCTTTCATCTTTGAAGATACCGACAAGGTAAAAATAGATTAGAGGTCTTGAAGACCTTGAAAACTGCACTGAATCTAGGCTAACTAGGTCTTGTTATTGTCAGTATGAAATGTATTCTTTAGTCTATCAATATGTGCAATGTTAAGAATTGCACAAGTGAAGCTTAAATATGATTGTTCCAACCATGTCAAGGAGTCAACGACGACGACAACAATGGCGACAGACATCATCTCCACATATACCTTGCCTTTCATCTTTGAAGATACAGACAAGGTAAAAATAGATTAGAGGTCTTGAAGACCTTGAAAACTGCACTGAATCTAGGCTAACTAGGTCTTGCTATTGTCAGCATAAAATGTATTCTTTAGTCTTTGTCTGGGAAGGTGTAATAGAATCTTTGCAATCACCCCCCCGCCTGTGTTTACCAAAAGATATTATTACCTAGAACGATCACCAGTTTGATCCTTATTATGATTTTTTTTCAGTCATTTTTACATGTAAAATGATTAGTGTTGTAAACCACACATACTTCTAGAAAGTGTGAAAAAGTAATTCACTCCTAGATGAAATATAACAAACCTTGAGTTTGACATTCAATGGGTAAAGAAAGAATTATTTTTTTTTTAAATTTGATTTTTAGAAAAAATAATTTTCATGCCAAGATATTGCTTAGGTTTAGATCGAGCATTGTGTGAGTATTCTCAACTAATGCACTTTTTGTCTTTATGAATTACTAATAATTCCAATTTTAGAATATGCCCTGGAATGTGAATATTATTCACCAAGTAGAAAACATGGAGCGCATCCAGCGAGGTCAACATAATAGGGTTACGAGGGAATAATAAGACGCAACAAAGACCCACGGTTGACTTAGGGGGCACATGTCCACTTCTTAAAACTTTCACATTGCCAGCCGTGCAGGACAGAGGACAATATGACGATTGCTACAATTCATCTATTGGTATGGCATCAGATGACACATGGATGTGACAGGAGATTCATGAGAGTGTACTTAGTTTTTCAAGGCCACAGGAATAACATCAATCAGTCTAGCCATTTTCAAGATAACAAAATATTAATTAAAATGAGAAGTTATTGACACTAAATGAATAAGTGCGAGGAATAGCTTTGGTCCATCCAAAGTACCTACATATAAAATATCAAAACAAAGTTTTACTGGAAATGACAAAAGATATTAGCTAAAATTGGAGAATTAAATTTATCTTCATAAATGGACTAATTCGAAAGTAGCTATGCAAAGTACATTTGTAGTGAGTATGAAAACCTGTACAACTAATGTTTCTGTTGCCTTTCAGTACATATTGGAATGAACCAGATAAAATGACATGAATCACGGTCCTATTGTGTTTAATGTATGTACAAAGTTGGAACAAAATCTTGTTCAAATCAAAGTGTAGGCATGGGTGTAAGGCCATGTATGTCTTGCACAGAAGGTAACAAGACAGGTCTGCATGTTGATGAGACTGGCGGTAGAACAAGTAAATAGTATTACGTAAATCAGAATGGGAGGCTCTCTAAGACGAGAATGGGCATAATGCAAAGCATATCATAGTATAATAGCATAGAAACATAATTAAATTAATTAATTAATTAAAGTACCTGGATGCAAAATGTTAAATAACAAGTGCTTTTATTAATAATCTATGAGATTTTCATACACAGTACAACACACTTAGAAGCTCTACATCGAATAGTTGGTTTAGATGACTTTCCACACATTGCCACTTCTCCAATGGGCAAAAACTACAGATAATCACTTTTGAAAGCATTGTTTTGTCACACAAGGTCTATTTACAAATAACTTTCCAACTAATAATTGACTATCATGAATTTAGACTGAAGAACACATTCCATGTAAATAAAATCAATGGATTCTATCGATACAAATAATCTGCTTGTATGTTGGCTGCAATTTCTGCCTCCCACTTGTCACCATTGTTGAGCAGTTTCTCCTTATTGTACAGAAGTTCTTCATGGGTTTCTGTAGAATATTCAAAGTTGGGTCCCTGCAAAACAAGAGAAAAACAACATTCTATAATATTAAGTTATTGCACAGTG